TATATATATATATATATATATAATTGTTAAGAACTTGTATCGCGCTATCGAGATACTTATATGTAAATGAAAACTCTTGAACACCGACAAAAAGCTTCAATTTATCCCTTCGAATTGTCTTCTGAACACACGTCTTCGACATACATGCCTCCTAAAGCACGTTATCCCTAGAGCCGAACGCTAATAGAAAATATTTCGATATATGTAATCGTTTAACGTGGAACCCTGTATAATTTGGAGCCCAGGCGGAAAATTTAATAAGATTTCGTCAATTTGAATCAATCGAAAATAAATAGCGGCAAGCATGAAGCTTTAAATTCTTGCATATTGTGCCACGAGACTTTGTGTTCTAGATTAAATTGTTCGATAATCCTTTATTGGAATGCAGGAAAGAACGTCGCATTGGGTTGCTGCTGCGGATTCTGCGGTAGAGATTGCACCGGTGACATGTATCCCATTCCTGCTGCTATAGGCATACACAATTTCCTTACTCACTCGCAGTTAAGTGAGACGGCATTCAGACTATAATAGCTAATTTAGAGATTCACAGACGATTACATCGTTTCATCGAACGTCGCGTTCTATCTCAGTTCATCAATCGGGGTACGATAATATCAATACGGAACTTAATGGGAAAGTGAGGACTCTAACATCGATCTAACTAGGTCGTTAAGGATTTACTTACGTCCTATCTTGATTTGATGCTGTGGGCTATTGCTAGCCAATTGGTTCATCGTCGGTGCTGGGCCAGTGTGTTTCGATTTACTACCCATTATGTTATCGAGGTCGATATTCAATCCCGAACCAGCCCAGGTTGAACCGACTTGCGTAGAAGACGTCGTATTGCTAGACGTTTGATTCCTAGTATTGATGGATGTAGGTGGAAGAGATTCGTAACGGGTGACAATCCGACCGATCCTAAATACGACACTGATTTTAGTTCGTAGTATGCATTAAAGTTGTTCTCTCATATTTGTATATGAATTTACATATAAATTCTCATATTTCACAGCACAAATTCATATTTAAAAATAATTGTAATATTCTATTAAAATTTATAATAGAAAATAGATTAATTTTATTTAATAATTACAATCCTATACATATTGATTTTTTAATGTATAAAGTCATATAAATATGTATTGAATATTTTAACCATTGAAAACATTTAATTTCATGGAAAATAAAATATCCATAAAATTAAATGCTTTCAATGTCAATTAATAATATACGTATACTGTATAATTAGATGGGTATCAATTCAAAATTACGCTGATGACAAAATTCTCTTGTATTTAAATTACACACATTTTGTAATTTGTAATTTTCGCAAACCAAAAAAAAAAATTAACTCTAAAACCAAAAGCAAAATACATTCCGCATGGAATCCGTACATACATAATATTCATATAAATGATTAAATACTGTAAAAATAAAAAAAGTTTTTTCTAACAATATTGTGTAATAGCCGATTGACTCTCGGTATTAATCTACACATAATTAAAAGTGGAACTTATAATCAAATTGATGAAGGATAACACTCTCGCGTTTAGGGCCCTACAATTCGCGTCGTGTTCGCCATTGACGACGTTCTGTGACAACAGAAGCCATTCTCTCATTTCCATCAAAGGCTCGGACAATTCGTCGATAATAGCGTCCTTCGGCACCGCGATAAGTACAGATCCGATATTCTCTGTAACAGCTAATCTCACTGTCGCTTCATCGTGATTCCTCACTATCCACATGAGCTCCAGTACTTCTTTGCCCATCCTCGACGCCAGCGGACAATTTTGCGCCGCCAACATCACGGCGGACAACGTTTTCAGGAAACGTAGCAGTAAAATATTTTCCTGATCCTGATAAACTTTCAAGCCATTCAGCTTGAGGACATCACGACGGCCGAAGCCGTGCAGGAGCGGATAGAAGAACGACGACGCCACGTTTCCAAAGTGATTAATGCGTAGCTTGGGAGATTTGGACTTGTGCGCAAATCGTCGCGTGCGCGACACGATTCTTTTATCGACAATTTCCTGCCAATCTACAGACCGATCGCCCGACGCTTTTAGATCAATGTCGAAGTCCTCGTCGTACCACACTTGCTGTCTCTTACTTTCTTCCGTATCGATAAAGAGTGATATACGGCTCGGAATGCGTTTCTTCTTAATCGCCGTGTCTACGGCGCCATCGGTGTCGTCGACGTCAATTTTTGACAATTGCTTGGCGGACTCGGCTAATATATCCAAGAACAGTAAGCGTTGGCTCAACGAGTATTTCCCCGTGTCCTCGTAAAACTCTTTACAGAGAAACTCAGCGCACTCCTTCGGGCGCACGGTTACAATCGCTACGCAACATTTGAAAATCACAAGTTCAAAATTCTCCATGTAGGAATGTTGCTTCAGCGTGACAAGCAGCTGCAAGAGTTCTACCGCGAAGGATACATCGTCGTTCGGCAGCTGCGTTAATATCAGTTCCTCGCAGGCCAGCAAGGATTCGGAGAAGACGTCGGGATTGGCGGAGATACTCTCGTCCGTTAAATTATCGCGCAGATCTCGCAGGTACGTCGGGCGTACCTTATTGGACGGTTTCGCGTCGTTCATGTCGTAAGGGACCAGATCATCGTCGCTGTCCAGATCCGAATCGCAATTTGACTTCGCCTGTTGTTCCGTTTCATCCCTCTTCGTTTGATTGTCTCCCACTGCGTTCTCCTTCGACGGGCCTGCAATCTCTTCAATTTTTTCGCTCGACGGATTCTCAACGCCGAGTAAAATGTCGCAGTCAACGCCCAATTCGTAGATCTTTCTGCTGCTCGGAGAATCGAAAACAATATTTCCGACTGTTAAATCGCCGCTTCGCTCGTACCGTTCTTTCAAACCTACAGTCGTTGCAAGCGCGTTTAGATCCTTTAGGGATTGAAGGAACTCCAACAATTGCGCAGGCATGCTGTCGTACTCGAACTTTAATTTCGGTGCGTTATCGGAGTTACATAAAGAATTTATGCAAATCTCGGCGACCATCATGCCCATCGCTCTCAAAGTTACATTTGTACACTCGAGATGGACAGACACCCCGGAGAGCAACAGTTTCTGGCACTGATCCCTCTCGGTATGACTTAGAAGATCCTTACAAGTTTTTACAGACAGAACGATCAGCTTCGTAATGTATTTGTGCTGCTCCACAGACACGTGATTCAAAATACTTTTATCCCTCCAAACTTCTAAAAGCTTGATCAACAACTCTGGCAAAATATTATTCTCATTCGAAAAAGATGATAAGTAAGAAATCAAGTTTACGAGCAGTTTTTCGTCCTCGTAGTAACGCATTAGAGGAATTTTAGTTGTTAAGACATACCTCCAATTCGATTCCGCTAATAAATTTCCGAAAATGGGACGCACGCCGAGTTTAGAATCGCAGCGCTTCAAGAGTAAAACAGCTACGTATTCAATGGCGGCCGAATCCAATCCGCGAAATATATCTTCGACTAAACGTCGCTCGTTCTTTACATTATCGAGACACCACTCTTCCAAAATATCGGCGAAGCGCGTAAAATCGCATGGCTTCAAGCTGACTACGATCTTGCTGATCAAAAATGAGATTGCGGACGTTCTTGGCTTGATGTCACGTCTGTATAGCTCGTTGATAAACGACATCGCACGGGATACGTGAAAACAAAGTATTTTTACATAAACTTGCGGCGTGTAAGATTTAGGCGTGTCGAACTGCAGTTTATTTGACACACGACTGGGCAGGGAGATCAAAATTTGTACTGCACCTCGCCAAGTCTGATCGAGTTCCTCCTCCTGCATGTGAGATCGCGCCTCGTCTCTACACGCGTCCAATATTCCCGAAAATATAGCGTCGCTCCTCAATAGGTTGTTCAATAGCATTGAAACAACGTGAGTCTTCTTCTCGTCCTTGGACTCATTTAAAGCAGTGGTTAGAGCCCTTAAAGCTTCCGATAGCATCGAGATCGTGGCGCCGTCGACGATTATCAACCTCTCGATCGGCGGATCCAGGCCGTCCTCATTTAGCGGCCAATCACGATCAAATTTACCGATTACCTCCTCCAAAATTCTTCCGTACAGTATGGCGTCCACTTTCGCATCGAAATCGAGACCAGTGTATTTCTGAGGGGTAACAGGCCCCGGTAAAAATCTGACGTAGTCCGAAACGGACGATCTTATTCTCTCCAAATCAGCGCTACTTTTAATATCGCACATCGTGCACAATACTTCCAATAATCGATTGGCGGCATCATTGGAGAGATTCTCAATCGACGCGACGCTCTCTTCGTATTTACAGGCTGCAAGGAAAGACTGTCTTGGGGGAATTACATTAGCTTCAAACTCCGAGGATATGTATCCCACGCACGGATTTCTTTCACGATAAACGCATGCAAGAGCGATTTAAAATATCATCTTAAAATCTTACATTCACTATCAGATTAATTAATGTGTGATTAATAATATTAGAGCAGTTCAGAAATATAGAATATTGTTTAAACTCAAGATCTACACGTTATATGTCACACATCATATTACACAAACATTATGTATGTACGCGTTATGTGTAATTTATAGTTATAATGAAATATTGCTGACAAAAGTTCTGTCAATCGTGTAAATTAAAGAAATCAATCAAATTACGCGTCTTAATCGCGTACATACTCACCTGTGTAATTAACGGCATTGGTAGGTGCGTTGTTCATTCCCATGAAAATGTTCGAATTATTAGTGCTGTTTATTCGCCCGTCAGGTAACCTCATGGCTGGGGCATTCAAACCGTCCAAGTCCGACAAGAGATCTGTATTTGATGTCACTGAAAGAAATAACACAAAATTATTTTCATTAATAAAATTATCAATTATACGTAAAAATTCATCTGTTGACTGTTTCTGCGCGATTATTCCTATCTAACTAACGTGTATAATCCCCTACCTGTATTGTTATTCGTGATTTGATTATTGAGATCTTGCGGTGATAAAGAATCAAATAGATCGTTAGACGTCTTTTGAACAACGGGAGTTCCCGTAAATGCCGTTGTGCCGGCCGTTTGCATCGTATTGGCGTACATTGCATTACTATTATTCACATTATTCGCTACCGGGTTATTCACGGTTGGTATTGTTACACCCATCAGATTGATCTGCGATTGCGGCTGGCTTGGCGGATTAGATATAGCAACGTTATTAAAGGCCGATGTGAAATCAGCGAACTCATCATTGCCGTCTTTCGTCTTGACCGCCGCGGGATTATTAAACGCGCTAGTAAAATCGCCAAAATCTGCGTTTGCATTTTGCTGAGCGAATGACTGAGTGCTCGCTCGTGGATTGAAATCGTCATCGTCTAGTCTACTGTTATCACTTTGCGATTCAAAAATGTCGTTTAATATATCGTTTTTGGTCTTCTGTTGATTTTTCGGCGATGATACATTATTACTTTGTTGCGCGGGTGCACTATTCTGAAAACGGAAAAAACACTTCAATTAATTTATAATTATCAAGTCTATGCACGTATAATTACGTCTTATATAAAAGAAATTATAACAGCAAAATACAATCATTCCTCATTCCTTAAACTTACATTAGATTGCTCTTTTCCATAATTCGCTGCTGCTCCAAGATCTACTTTTTTAATAGTTCTCGTTGTCCGTGCCGGGGATGCATTCGTAGAAGATACTGATGTTTGAGCAGATTTACCGATTTGATTTATATTGTCCAATGTATCTCTATACTCTCTTCCACTTTTCTTTGGGCTAGTATCATTGTCCGAGTCTTCTCTCTCGCCGTCGTCGCTGCAATGTTTTTTTTTCGTGTTGTGTAAAACATGAAAATTACATTTAAAAAGATTTATTCAAGATATAACGTATTGTTGATTTTTAAACATTCATATGTACGATAATAAGAAACGCAAATATCAGGCATGTACCTGTTATTTGCGTCCTCAAATCCCTTTCCGCGGCTGTGACTGTCCCAGTCGTTATACGTCTCCGCGCCAGATTTGTTCCATTTTGGATTGTCCATCCATCTGTCACCGCCGAATCTCATTCCCATCGCCTCGCTCGATAAGCCAACATATTTATCTTTATTTTTCTTAGCCTTCTTCCTTTCCTCCCTAAGTTTATCATCGTCTTGGATAAAGTCGATTAATTCCCTAACTTTATGTCTAATGTTTATCCCTTGATCCTTCCCGAACTCGTCAATGCAGGTGTAATTTTCTAAAGACCTGAGGTCGTAGATGTGCTCGCGTGACGATGTGACGACCCGTTCCGAGCCATTACGGACTAAGTAATTAAGGAGGAGTAATGACTGCAAAGTAAAAATAGAGATTAATGAAATGAGCTTGATAAAGCACGGATGGACGATAAAGTGCATTTTTATTCATGAGAATTTTGTTTACTACTTTGTAACGATAACAATCCTGCTCCCCTCCCCCCACCCTCGATATCTACCATAATAAAGTTACCATAATAAAGTTTATGTTATGTTTCTCCTTAAATGTGACGCAATAATTCGCAAGAAACACGATCGCGTACCTTGTACGTTCGTCGCCAATTTCGTTTATTCTCTTGCAACATCCTTTTCCAGAGCATGGACATCACCTCGGGAAATTGCTCGTACGTGAACGTGGCCTGAGCCAGTTCTTGCATCATTGCCCCTTAAAAAGTAATGCATCCCAGTATAATTAATTTACAGGTGTTTCCATGTGCAGATAAAAGGTATTATATACACGGGTGAAACTACATCGTCCGAAGCGCAGATCGTACCTGTGGGACCCCACGCGTCGTCGTTAGTTGCCTCCCGAACTTTGGCCTCTGTTTCCGTATAATTCATCACGACGTTGGTCCTGCAAATTGCAACATTTCTTTATTACGTGAGTGTGTTTTCGCACGTGCAAATCTGCGAAACGTGTGCAAAACGAATCATGAATAATATTAAATTAGGCGTGTAACACCTCGTTCCGCGTGTCACACTCGTCGCGAATTACTCGATAATTATTTCCGGAAAAAAAAAAGAACGCCCGATAAAATCATGTAACACCGATCGCACGTACATGTGTGGCGGATAACGTACAACACACGGACGGGCACTGTGTTTATATCCTCGCCCACAATTAGTTTTTACAGGTGGATCACGCAAACACGAAAGGATTACTTACAATGATGATCTTTCTATTATTAACGCTCTTTATAAAGAATAATTAAGTATAGATAGAGCACTCTCTCTCTCTCTCTCTCTCTTTCCCCCTCTCCCTCGCCCTCTTTTTTTGCCTACCTTAGTTTGGTCTGCAAACACATTAGCGTACGGTGCAAAGCGCATCCATGCGACAACAAAAGTGCATAGAGCCGTGAATTACGTAAATGATTACAGTTTAAAGCCACATTATATAGATTCGCGAGGTAATCTCATGCGGCTTACCACGTCGGATCGTAACACGAGAGATTAATTTATCAAGATTATTAGTTCGCGAACGTAGCACCCGCGAAAACTTAATTAATTTATTAAGATTATTAACTCGATGCAACCCGAGTCGCAACTCTGTCGGCCGTTTTCGATGAGTATAATTAAGTACGAGATTATGAAAAATGACTATATTTAAAGGGTTCTACGTTTTTAGACAATTTTCACAATTTCGTATTTAATCGTATTTATCGATTAAAAACAATTAATACAGGCATGTTAAAAAAATTAATATAATTCATTATTAATGTAATATTAATATGATTATAATTATTAATTAGTTAATATCTTTCGACTTTAAAAAAAATATCAAAATTTTATATCCGAATGAATTATTAAATAAAACAAGTATTAATTTATGATTGTTCAAAAATATTACTCGAGAAAATATCTAGTATTAAAATTTTAAGTAAAATTTGTTTGTCTATTTTCAGTTAATATCACTTTTAATATACAAATATACAAATAAAAATATTAATATAAATTCAGTTTTACTTTTGTATTAAAACACGGAATATAGGGATAAAATTTCGTAAAGATAAATTTAAGATATTTTTGTTAGCTTATTACAGAAAAATTCTATTGTTTTTAATAGTATCTCCATCGTACAATTGAATGGAGTAAATGACAGTGATCTTTAAAAACTAGCATTTACACTTGATAACTATACCAAAATAACACATTTGTCAGACACATTTATCCTTATCTTTATAAACATGAGCAGAAGCTAGTACTTAAAGACAATAGGAAAGATGAAAGAGTAGCCGAGTCGAAGACTTTCGTAATTCTAAACGAGTATTCAAGTGAAACCGATAAGAATCGGAATGTCATATCGCGTGGATAAACTTCTCCACCGTGTCCCGCGTGCCTGAGGTATTAAATGAGCTTACTTCACCAATCGCGTGTATTTTATGATTAAGTAAGATACGATTAAGTAAGAAATTGCGTAAATGTTCGCTTGAAATACTTTCCAAAAAAAAAAAAAAAACATCCTTGAAACCTTATCGAGAATATAATTTCGGAGAATATAATTCGGCGGCAAGTGAAATAAGCTAGCAAATTTTGCCTTTCTCGAATTCTCGATGTCGGGGAAATTTATTGAGCGAGAAGATACGTGCAAGAATTAAAATGCTAAAGTGGCGGGAGTTTTTAAAAATACCAGTTTCTCCCGCATTTCCTTAACTTAATTAGATCTTTAATTCTTGGATCTTTAACGAGGCGTTCCAATCTTCGATCCTGATTAAAAGCGACGAACGCCGGGATAATAATTTGCAAAGATTGACGAGAAAAGGAAACGGCTCGCCGAAGGTCGGGGAGGGAGGCGGAATTTCGAAAGCGCGGAGAGCAACGACAAAATAAATACGCGCGCACCTGAGGTAGGCGGGCCGGCGAGGGGGAGAAGAGGAGGGAAACCCGCGCGCCATCCGTCATTAATTGCACGATTGTTTTCGCATCGTTTATCGCACACGCCGCACTATCGAATCTCAAGGTCGCGCCATAAAATTATCCACAAGCCGTTCCAGTTTTACGAGTCTCTCTCTCTCTCCCTTCTCTCCTCTCCTCTCCTCTCATCGCGCCGACGAGAGACTTGTCGAGAGCGATCGCATCCTCTCGGCGGCGAACCACGTAATCGGCCGAACCGCCGATAGAATTTTCGAACGTCATTCACATCATTCTCACTCGCGACACGGGGATCGTACGCGGTCGCGCGTGACAGGTTCTCGGATGAATTCTCGCACGCGCGCGCGATTCTCCCGACGTCTCGCGCGGGCCTGGATTTGGGTGGTGCGCGGGACACGAAGGGAAAATAGGTAGATGCAGAAAACGCGGCCCTCCTCGTAGGTTGAGACCGCGAGAGGCGAGGTTAGAAGGCAAGCATCCTCGGACTTACGCCTTGTCCATCAGCTCCCGCACTTTCCACATGTTCATCATGATGACGAGCTGCGCGACGCCTCTCTCTCTCTCTCTCTCGCGTACGATCGTCACCCTCGACGCCGCGGCACTCTCTCGACGGGGATCGCTATCGAGGCGGCACGTTCGCTGAACGTCGACCAGATGTTGTCCGGAGCATCTGATACCCACGACGGCCGTGGCGGAACGTCACCAGGCGGTAGCCATGTTATCCCTTCCACGTTTGCACGCACCTCGCCGCGGTCACAGGTGTCTCCCGTGATCGCGCTCAATCGGCGCTAATAGACGTTAGCCGACTCAGTGTTGCCAATTGTTGTTAATTTCAGCGATCTCTTCCATCCCCCCCTCTCACTTATGAATTTTTCTTTTGGATCTTTTTATGCGAAAAAAACCTCGGTCTCGATGTTATCGACCATGGATACAAATTTATCGATTTAAATTGGTTAACGTGAAATATATACAATCAATATTTTTTTTCCACAGTTACCTCGCTTGGGTAATCAACTCAGCTGATTATAACAATAAAATTGCATTTTTTAATTAAATTAAATATTAAATGTTATATCGAGTTTTACAAAATATATACATAGGAAATATCCGCATAACAAAATCATAAAATCAATACTGTATCATTAGCTATTTGAATTTTAACAATAACGTCAAATTTTATTAAATTACAATTTTTTATAATATATATATATACATGTTGGTGGAAATCGAGCATTAATTACTAGCTAGCGCTGAAGGTGACCAATCCAATTTTTGAAGAATGCACTACACAACGCCTCAAAATTCTCTAGACGGGCATTCTCGGGTCGCACGACTCGCGTCTCTGTACTCATGGATCATGACCGTCGAGCGTGTTGTGGTGTGGCATCACTGCCGTTTGCCGGATTCAACATGTAGGAGCGCATTTAAATTGCCTGTTCCTCCTTCATATACACAACGATGGCAGATTTTAACGACGGGGTGGACGGGAAGCTGGCTTTTCGAATGCGAAAGGTCAATCCCGAGCAATTTCACACGCTCGTCAAAATGCACCTGTCCTTCGAACTGGATCTTAACACGGAAGAGTAAGTGATACTCCTTCGCATACAACTGACCGTCTCTCCCCCTCGTATGACTGGCATACCGTTGACACTCTGCTTCGATAAACAAGATCTGATTTTGGCTCCGTTTATCCTCTGTTTCGCCGATAACGTTTCTCCTTCAACCGCTGGCTTGTTAATAATAGCATAGTTGACTTAATAACAATATAATTATTAATAAGTATGAGCCATACTCTACTACAACGAAAATCATTACAAAATATAACAATATATGTAATGAAATTATGTACACGCCGATAACGTCTCGATTGATCCTTCTTTAGCAGCGACGGTATTACGGAGAAGGCGAGGTTGAAGAAATGGGGCCTTCTGAGCTTCACCAAGAAGTCCAAGTCTTCGGTCAACTTGGAAAAGGGTACAGAAGGAGTTATGCTGTCCGAGGATGGCATAAATCATTTGACACAACTGATAGATTATCTGTCCAAGGAACAAAGTAAGACAACGGGAACAAAGTAAACAGATAGTGGAAAATTATCTTCTTTCAAGAACGGATTTAAACTAGTAGCTTCCTTTTCATTCTATAGATATCGTGCAGGAGGGAATATTCCGACGCACTGGAAAATTAACGAGGCAGCAGGATTTAAAAACAGCCATGTCTCAAGGTGTATTTTTAGATCTCGACGATGGTAGATTTAGTGTACACGATTGTGCCTCTGTGTTGAAAGGGTTTCTGGCGGAGCTGTCTGAACCGCTACTGACGGACTTGCATTATCCAGCGCATTGCCAGATTGCTGGTAATAAAAAAAAAAGCACAAATTTTGTGCTACAAGTACAATTTTGTTTGCGTATGCCATGCATGGCATATTCATCGTGGCCCTGTGAATTACTTGCAGAATTGTGCAGCTTGGATGCCAAAACGAACGACGCGAGGCTATTGAGCTCCCTGCAGTTGCTGCTGCTGCTCCTGCCGCCTCCCAACAGAATTTTGCTGAAGGCTATTCTCACCCTGTTGAATAAGACGGCGAGTTACGAGCATAGCAACAAAATGAACAGCGACACGCTGGCCACTCTCTTCACGCCGCATCTGTTGTGCCCGCGAAAACTGTCGCCCGAGGCCCTGCATATCAATTCGCAGAATCTGTCGTGTCTAGTCGCATTTATGATTAGGAAGGGTACGGAGTTGTTTGAGATTCCACCAAAATTGGCTACAGATATACGGGCGTATTGGATGGAGCAGGAGAGAAAATTGCTGAGCCCCAAGAAGACTGATGTAAGTTTCAAATTGAAAACAATCTTCCTTGCATAATGTGATAAAGCAAAAAATAACAATTATAAAGAACAGGCAATTAGAGTCATACCGCAATACTTGGTGCATGGATAATTTATCCGTAAATATATATATTTAACTGTAAAATATATATAATATAAAAATATATGATATAAATATATATATTAGATTAAATTATTCATGTACCAAGTACTGCGTTGTGACTCTAATTGCCTATACCCTTTATGATTGTTACTTTTTAAAACTAGGAGTCTTACATGTTAATATATTGATGTTGATAAAACAAATTTTTGATTACAGCTAAATGAGTCGGTGCCAGACGCAACCAGTACTGCCCACACCGTGTTCAGTTTCGTCGATCGTAAGTTAACGGCGAAGGCTAATTCCACCCAAGACACGCAGGCAGCCTTGGCTCAGTTATACGCTCATATACAAGCCATGCCGGAGTCCGCCAAGAAGCGGCGGCTTGTGAAACAGTTTAACAAGGAAAACGGACAGGGTACACCTAGGCACGTGAAGAATTGCAAAACCAAGAGCCTCGGGGATTCCATCAAGAAGCATATCTTTCAGAAGAAAATCCTAGGCCACAAGAAGTTCGTTGACATTAATATCGGATGCAATTTCACTAGATCGAGCAGCGAAGAGAATATATTGTCAACGGTCAGTTTCCTTTACAATCTTTCTACAGAATGTTTTTTCGTTGTTTGTGTTTATTATCTGTTTGTGCGTAACAACGGCACGTTTATATGTTTTTTTTTTCTTTGCATGTATAGAAACTGGAAGACTCGTTTCTTCCGGCGAGAACGGTTCTTAGCAAATCAAACGACGAGCTTAGCACGGAAAACTGTGATACAACTAACAACGATCGTTTACATGTCAAACACACGTGTAGTATAGATAGCATTAAGAACGAGACTTCGACGACGAGTTGTAAAGCAAAAAAGACGATATCGATCGATGAATCTGCCGACACGAGAGACGAGGTGGAACACGAAAAGAACACGCAGCACGATACTAAACCGGGCTTGGGCTCGATCGAGCTCAGTTTAGGTGCAAGTTTAGAAGAGATCAATGTAATGATTAACGAGAATAGTCAATCTGACGCTGGTAAATTAACACGACCGCTCAGTGAACCGCCCGACTTGTATTCCACTCATGTGACTCACTGTGACAATTTAATGGTGACTAACGGTGGATTGGTACGACGAAATTCAGAATCTACTTTCGCATCTGTCGCTACGTCAAATGTACAAAGCGCTCCTTCGAAAACTCGTATCCCGAATGTAAAATCGTCCGAGGCTACTTCGAATGTCGAATCGCACGCTGAAAACGCATGTACACATAATTTGCAGTCCCCGATGGTGAAGAACAGATTCAGGAATGTGTATGCTGTTCACACGTCGACGCCATCGAGTTTACTACGACGAAGCTTGGCAACTAACGATTATCTCTTGACTCCCATTACTAACAATGACAGAAGCATGAGTCCAATTACGCAAAGCGCAACAAAGATGACGAAAGCCATGCAGGTACGTAAATTAAAAGTATTTCTCTGTACGAAAAAATATATTTAAATTAAAAAATATTGAAATATTCAAATCACAAGTGTAACACAAAACTAAAAATATTGCTCTTAATATTGCAACAGGAAACTATGATGACTCCGCGCTCCAGGAAACCAGTAATGATAGTTTCAACTTCGAATCTATGCAATCTCGTCACTGGCCACAACGGTTGCGATTTACGTGGGTCAAATTTGGACAACATGGTCGGTGCAATAAATAATTGCGCTTCCATTTTGGAGGAGTCCCAGACGTACAACAGTACGGACAACGCGCTGGCTCACGCGAAAGACGTCGAGATTAAAGAAAATAACGTATTGGACACGCTGGAGAAGCACAGCTGCGTACAATCGGTCGCACATTGTTGCGCCTGTACGCAACAGAGTTCGATGTCGATAACGAGCACGTTCAGGGAATATCTGTTGTCAAGGAGCGTGTTGACCGCCAGCCCCGTCGATCTCAGCTTCACGTCGCGGACGGGCGACTTCGAGCAGTCGGAATCCGATTTGAATATATTGAACGACGATACGCTGTCCGACAGTTTGCTACGCTGCTTGGACGGCAATCAACCAGAATCTGACACTTCCGGCATAGCATCCGGCAGCACGAATAGCGCGAACAATTCCACCGAGAAAACGGAGGAGATACCATCACCGAGGAAACGTGGGACCAGTTTGCAGCGAAACGATTCTAAAAAGTCCGCGAGAGAAAGCGCGGTCAAGAGTACAAAAAGCGAGGAGTGCAAACATAAACTGCGAGACGAATCGACGTTAAATCCAACAAAGATGAAGGATAGCTTTCAAGAGACATCATTTTAAGCTATCCGCACAAGTTATTTAATTATTAATATATCGTTAAGTATAAGTATAGTTTTGTACTTTGTATACTTCGAAGTTAAAGGAGCCTAAGGAGAGTTGCCACATTAAGTTTACCAGTAGGACACATTATACAGAGTGTTTCACATAACTGGGCGGAGCTGTGTCTTCAAAACGATTGGAGATGGAAGAAAAGGGCCAAAAGCAGAATTAAATGATAGATATTTTACATTTCTGTATTACTTTCGTGCATTTTTGTGCGTAAGCACTATTACAAAGTGCAGTTATGTTTAAAGTGAAACTTCATATTTTTAAGTGCGCTGCTAATCGATGCAGTTTTCCTGCTTTACAAAAGACTATTGTAAGGTTGTGCTTGTAGAAATTGTTAATTTAGAATTATTTTAACTGATTACAAAGAGACCTATTAGATTCGCGATAAATTTTGACCATAACTTTAAAATAGATTTTTGTAGAGAAGAAAAAACTACATTAATTAGTGCATCTAAGAAATCCAATTAAAAAAACGTGCAATTGTATTTTGTAATCCATACAAAAGTGCATGAAAGTGATACAGAAATGTGAATCATCTAAAAACAATTAATTTTACCTCATGACATTTTTTTTCTATCTCCAACTATTTTCAAAATACATTTTCGCCCAATTACGTGTGAGACATTCGATATATAATTTTGTCTCGAATATAAATTGATTATCCAACTGGATCATTTATTTCATTTATGTGGAAATTAAATCGTTACTAACTGTGCATATGATGCAAGGATATTTAAAAGAATTTCGTTTTCTTCTTTTGTGACAATATTGATAAAGATGTTTATAAAAGCTGTGTATTGCTATAAAATGCAACACAGTATTTTTCTAATTCATTTTGTAATCATCAAATTGCACAATACATAACGATACACTTTGATTCGAGTGTAATTATCATATCTTTAGGCTTTATTATTATCTTTATAATATCTTAAACAAGTTTAAGTTAATTTGCAATGAAAAAGTTTAAGTATTTATAAGTAAAATTAAACTATATGAGAACCAACTTGGCATTTAATCATTTTATTTACGAGAACTTAAATATTTTAAAAATTATTCAAGATTAATCTGTTATATATATATATACTATATATGAAAGTCATGTAAATCTAATCAGAATGTATTATCTTTTTTGTTCTTAAATATAAGATCGATAGCTTATTATTCAGAAATATATCCTGCGGCTCTACAGACAGCATTACTTTACGGATAATCGGGAAGTAACGTGCTATTGTAAGTCTCATTTAGCAGTTATATTTAATTAATGTAAATTAATTAGATAAAATTGATACAAAAAAAGGAATATGTACACTTTGTACGTCAGTACATATCGTCGTGACTTAAATCTGGTATATATGTAAAACCCCGCTCCTTCAGAGCTTTGTTTATTCGCTTTTTCTGCTCCTGCTTAGACTCTTGTTCGCGCCTCTGTGCGTCCAAAATTTCATCCACCGTCACCTTTTTCAACGGCAACACCTTTTCCTTCTCTATATCCTGTAACGTGGGTACATATTCATTAACACCGCGTTGGATTATTAGCATTTATTAGCAGAATTATAACAAGTATCTTTCTATTTGTGAAACGCTTACTATTTCTCCTAAAAGCACAACATTCTCCCCTCTCACTATGAAAATACCTCTCGGGATATCACCATACTCTTGACCGACGTGAATTCTTTCAATGGTACTCTGAAGTACTATATTAGCAAATTGATCGACACTTTTAAGATAGCCGATTAACGTTCTGCCGTCTCTCAATAAAACCATAAGTTTTTCTAGAAGTAAATGCCACATGATTGAAATATATTGATGGATACGTTTGAAAGTAAGAAAAAAAACTTTAAATTTTAGATTTTAGATTCGTATTACGACTGCATTACAATAGTTCACAGCTTGCGTTTGTAATTTAACATTTTTTGTAAAAAAATATAATTAATAATTTTTTCCATTCTATTAGCACGTTCAAGAGAAGCTAAGACCAAGCTAGTCTGTTTTTATAGCTGAACTAGTGTGTACACTTTTTATATTTAATAAGTAAATAAACATACAAATAGATATATTGCCACGTTGATACAAAAGTGACATAAATAAAAATGTTAATTTTTTACATGAATTATGTTTAAAATATAACGAAAATAAGAAGCAAAGTTTTATAAGTGCAGACCAGTGAAGTAATAAAAAAAAACAAATAATGAAAATGAAAATGCCAAATGTAGATTGTGTTTCAAAATTCAATGCCAGTATACTGGTAGATTTTCAGTACTGGCAGTGAATCCTGAAGCACAGGCATTGTAACAAAAGCGTGCCGGAACACGTGAGTGTTTTTTCAGTCGCACAAGTCAGCCGATACGTACTCTCGAGCTCTTCAAGCAACGATGCTGTTCCCGGTGGTAATTCATTAGTCTCATTCATTTCACCCAATCGAACCTGACAAACAAATCAAAACACGAAAACACTACGGAGATCCTTCCCAATGTCAAATAACTCTTCGCTCGTCCGCTCGCCAAAATCGCTCGTCTAAAACAGTCTAACAAACGCCCGTCGCGCTACGAGGCCTGTGAGCAGTCAGCAATGTTGTGAGCAAATAATGTAAATGTAAAGTCTGGTAAAATCGAGAATGTGCAAACTGACGATGCAATGAGAACGCCGGCAATGTCGGCCACGGTTTTACCCTCCACTCACAGTCGGTACGATATTGTTTTATCGACGCGTCCGCCAAACGTTTGCGCCACCGCGACTGCAGATAGTGCTCGCGTTACGTTACATTACGCAGCAAGCGCGGCGGGGGCGGAGAGAGAGAGCGAAGTTCCGTTTCGCATCATCGCGTGCGGCCCTGCGAGCGAGAGCTTTTAATTCGAATAAATCCGAGTTGACGAGGAGTCGGGGCCTTTTAACATTCCAACGATAACCGCGCGTGGATTCGAAAGGAACGAGGCTCCTGGCTGTTGTGGCCGTTTTCCGTCGTTGTTCTCTTCGCCGCGCCGATTTAGACCGGACTCTTTCGCGCTCGGCCAGCTAGCTTGAAAGACGCCATTTCAAATTGATGTTTACGTATGTATGTACAATACAGTATGCCGATATTGCAATTTTGATAATCGATCTCCATTTGTCCCGGTCCAAATAGCAGCGATATGTTACTTGTTTTATTTGCATCTATGACTTCATCCTTATTGGGTGCATATCGAGAGACGCGGTAGCGTCTCGCGTCTCGCGACGCGGGTATCGTCTCGCGTCTCGCGACGCGGTATCGTCGGGCGTCTCACGACGCGGTAGCGTCTCGCGTCAGTATAAGAGTCGTGATATAAATTCCGTTGCTGCAAGAAAAATGAATTTATTTCATGACTGATATAAAAATAGCATAAAATGTAATTTGTTTTTTTTTATTAAATTTATCAAATATATAAAAATAATTATAACAAATAATGTTCATCTTTTGCAAATTTCAATTTCTCGCAGCATGCGAAATTTTGACGTTGCTGCCTTTTCAGAAGTCTTGTTTTTTTAAATTTTATCATTAAAATTTTAGAGGAAAAGACTTGTTCTTATCGAATATAAACGCGCAATTAATAGCATTCAATTTTAGCAATGCGTATAATAAATAAAACGTACATCTACAATTAATACGATTGTTGATTGAATTTTGATTGTTGATATATCTTCTGTTCTTTTTATGTAACACTACTTATTTCTATAAGATTACGCCATCGTTATCTTATGTATAGATCTAAAGAAGGGAAAAATATCGTTAATGAAAATATTAAATTCTCATATTTGAGAGCCAGAATCCGAGATAGAAAAGTTTCTATATTTTTTTAATAATATTATATATACGAATGCGATTATGAGGCCAGATTTTTTGACCTGCATCTCATTAAATCATCGCAAATCGGCGATTTGCGATTTTAAATACGTATTTGATGATATGCGAGCGCGGGGAAGAGAGAGAGGAGGGGGGGAGTTCTCCGGCGCGCTTCTGCTACGCACCTGGATCACCTCTCTCGGGCGTCGGAGCGCCCTATCCGCGGGACTCCTCCGTTTTACGCGGACACTTTATGCCCCCGATTGCAAGCGACACCGGAACGCTCTCAACTACATCGCCGGCAACCATCCGGAATCCTTTTCCCGATCGCAAAACAACGGAGAGGAGAGCGCGATTTAATTTAGGGTCCCTGTGAAGCCGCGCGCGGCGCGTTTCCCTCCTCTTGTCGCGCGTACATAGTTCGTCGGCGCGGCGGCGGCGCCCGGTTCGGCGGCACGTTTCAATAATCGGTGGGCACGACAACGACGTCGAGCTTTCTCGTAAACCTATAGATCCGTCGCCTATACGGAGCGACAAATCTTATCGGGACGGAAAGTAACGCGCGCGGTAATGCAGTATTTTCAAGTAGCCGCACACGCGCGCGATATTTGATCTTAATGACATTCGCGTCGGGAATTTTTCACAGAAAGTTCATCACCGTGTATACCCTTTCTTTTTCTTGCGAATGCATTGATAAAACTGCTTTAGGTCTGTATATATTTAACACGGTCGGTCTCGTGCGTACTCTTTAGCGCCGAGCCACGACCGTGTCTCTTGATAAAGCGTGCAATCGTAATCTAGTAATCCAGTTACAAACTGTATTAATTAAGAAAAAAAATGCAATAATAAATGCATATATATAATGTACTGTATTTAAATGTTATATCTGTCATATTGTTTCGTATGTTATTACAATTATTATACGAAGGCTTCACGCTCTGCATTCTTACAAATTATATACGTGCGAAGGGTCGAAGTAAATATAGTGTCGCGAAAAGTTTGGCGGAACCGCGCCGCGATTGGATACCGCGTGCAGGATTTCGGCGTGGCTGTGTAAGGCTGAAATTTGAAATTCAAATAAAGGGGTAAGAGGTTTACGACGGGCTTACTTGGCCTGATGTTACTTGGCCGTAGCCAAGAATCACGGGATGTCTTTGCTTCCGCGAGAAAGGTGGACGCGTATACGTGCAGTTAAATTCGCGGATTCGATCAAACGGACGTGTACATGTCAGTCCAACTTCAGTCAATATCCTTTCAGGACATAAATCCGATCAATATTCTATTTTTCCCTTCGTGATTAAGCGATCCTCTCTCAAAGGATGTTCTTCGAGTATTGCTGAACTCGTAGGGTACCCATTAGCGATATAGCTGTATACGCGCTACGAAATCGAAACCGGGGTCGCGAGTCACGACCGAGTCGTGCCGGATAGGAGTCCGAAACGATTTAATGCTCGGCGAATGGCGGTCTTGGGAAATCGGCACCGCAAATACGGCGAAACGACGCGAGATTGTGGAACGGAGTCCGGTGGAGAAGGGATGATGGGGAGGGGGGAGGGGGGACCGCCGGAGCGAGGACGAACGGTTTGTACCGGTGGGGGTGAAAGATGAGGGAACGGAACCCACGTCGCGATCGTTTTGTCTTTAAACGCTTCGTAAAAAAGAGCTGGACACGATTTACGGTTGATTACAGCCCCGGCGCGGGGGTCAAAAGTCGAAACGAAATGACTATCGATACCGATGGGAGCGAGCAAGTGGAGATTATAGGTAACGGCTAATAATGCGGCCCGATCTCTGTTCTCCCCCACTTCGCCCCCACTTCGCCCCCCCCCCTCATCCCCTTCCGTTCGAGAACGAGCCGTTCTAAAGAGCGCTCAAACGCTCAATCGGTTTTCTGCTCTTCCCCTCTTATCCCTTTTACTCCTCGCCGCGTATTTCGTCTATACGATACAATTCAATGACAATTACCATTAAAATTCCACTGTTTATACAGCGCTCGAAAAATTTGCTTTCTTTACATTTCTCGGAGCCGTGACTCTCTCGTGCGCTCCGTTCGAGAATAAATCAGGATTCACGAACCACCGACACCGAACCGGTTTCGGCGGTTTGGAGCTCTCGATTCTGCAGATACGTCGGCGACGAATCGTGCCATGTTACTATACATACATATACGGTTCACTCCGCGACAATACGAGCGCGACGCGAATCGCGTAAGACACGCTCTTTCTCACGTGCCCACGTACACATAAACCGCGTCGCGAGAATCGACCTCGGTCGAAGATTACTCTCGTCTCGGCGAAACCATTTACTCCGAGGTCTTCGAGGGGAGTAAATCTCGAAATAAAATCTCGCTCGTGCATTACTCGCGCCGCGCGAGAGTGTTCGCGCTAATCGATCGACTCGCGGATCGGATCGGCTTGATCGACGACGAGGGAACGCGCGCGGCGCGACCGCGACAAACGCGCGCGCTCTCGCGCGTACGTCCCCCTCGCGCTTTTCCTTTCTCAATCCCATACTCCAAGATGGCCGCCGGCGGCTTGAACGCGCGCGAGTGGAGGCCTTGGAGCAAAAAAGGACAAGCGTAATAACATAGTATCGTTAATGGCCGGGCAATTTCAACGTGTACGAGTGCCCTCCCTTTCTCTCCCCTTCTCTTCCTCTTCATTCCACCCGCCTCCTCCTCCTCCTCCTCTTCCTCCTCCTCCGACTCTCAGCCTCCCTCTGTGGTCTTTTCTTTCTCTTCCTCCGTTCTCTTCCTCTTTCTCGCGGCGCTCTTCTCTCTTCGCTCTTTTCCGTTCTCTCCTCTTCCTCTCGTGCCCCCTTCTTTCGACGTCGCGCCAAACTACCCCGCGTCCCTTTTATGTCGCTACGCGAGTTTCATGCTGTTTTCGAACACGCGCGGCTCTTTTACCAAAAGAGGACCGAGTTCATATAGATTTCAACGATCACGAGACCGGTGATTCATCACCGCTTTTTTATACCAGAACGATTGCATTCGATTATGGGGACCCCGCGATCCGATTTAGCTCTATTTTTCTTTTAACGTCGCCCTCCAGATGACTTACTATTCGCTTTTCAAATATAGAAATAATACTCGTATAGATATATTTTTGCTTAGATTGCTTAAAAGAGTTTTCTTTCGCCATTCACTCGTTTGCACTTGAAAAACGCCAGTCATGATGTTTTTCAGGATTTTTTTTCGATCGGCTATCGCCAATATAAGCGTTCATTTGCAGTTGCAGTTGTTACGAACCCCCCGTGAATTCTTCATACGTCGTTTTATCAAACGCGTATCCACTTTTATAGCCGTTGAATTATTTCCGGTGGCGTTAAATATTTATTTTACATTTAGAGAGGTGTCATTGTGATTCGGTGCGCGGCTGGAAATTGTGCCCCGTTAAAAAAAAAGAGAGAAAGAGAGAGAGAGAGAGAGAGAGAGAGAGAGAGAGAGTAAAATTTCGATCGTTCTTATAAATGTATAATGAAAAGGACGCGTAACGCGCACGTCCGTCGCATGTCGGGCGCGTTTCAAAAAAATACAATCGGTGTCCACATCGCCAAGAGCGACTGGCCGCGCAAATGCGAGAACATCGGTCGGTCTCAATTATTCAGGTAATTCGTTGAACATTGGCGGCCCAATGACTGGCGGCCGAATTTCTTTTTGTCACTCGGTGGCGCGTTTTCCGCATGTGTTTTCTCCTACGTGCACCCGCGCGGCGATCGGTTATCGACGCGACGCGGTGCGCTCGTACATTTGCGAGAGTCGCCGAGTATTTTGCCGTGCAAGCCGAAAACGCAATTAACGTCCCTACCGTGCGTTGCCCTTTATTTAATACCGATGTAGCGCAACGTATCTTCACTGACACTTCACTGAACGGTAAAACGTGATTTTTTTCCCTACGCACCTGATATTCTCTATAGCAAAAATATACGTGTTTGTGTTTATTTATATCAAACATATATCGCATAATTTTTTTTATGAGGGAATTATTAGTAGCCTTGAAGTGTTATTGCGAGGATAGAGAAAACTCTCTAATTTATTTCTCTATAAAGAGAATTTTCTAGTCAATTTCTAAAAATATATTTGAAAGAGAGGATCCGATTTACAACCTCCTTGGCTGATGATTCTGCGTCCCGAATTGTGAGAAACTAATTTTTATTTCTACCAATGTAGATTAACTTTAACTTCGGTTCAACAATTACTCTTCATCAGGTTTTAGTTTTAAGAATTAAAAAAAGATAAAGCGTAAGTTAAACTGGGATTAAAGTTAAACTACATTGATGGAAATAGCCATAATTTGCGGTGCCTTCGCGTCGTATAACTTTGGGCCAGAAGATTCTTTTCAACTATATAGATCGAGGCATTCTTGATCTAAATCGGAATTTTCTAACAGAAAGATCCGAAGGGGGAATTCGAATGCGGGGAATTCCGCCATACGATTCTATCGGACGATGAACGCATGTCGCTCTTCTAAAGGCATATGTACATGCCGCGCGATCGCCGCGGCGCGTGTGTGTGCGTGCACTTGCAGCCGCCCGGCCGGGCCTCGCGCCGCCGTGCATCGCCGGCACGGCCGTGTGCAATACTCGGGCGCGCGATGCCGAGATTAAACCGTGCACCGGCGCGATTACGATCCGGCAGTATCCGATTGGCCGCCGCTTCGTCGAACGGCCGGGGCGGAGCGAGCGTAATGAGTTTCTAGCTTAGTACTCTCTCCGTCTCTCTCCCTCTTCATCCTCTCTCCTCGTCCGCTCTCCGCGCCGCGCACGTTTGCAACTCTTCCGCTCGCTTCCTCTCGTCTCTCGCTCGCTCACCCCCTGCACACGCACCCCCTCTCGCGCACACGTGTGCGCAACACGCATGCACCGATGCACGAATTTCCTCTCTGCAGAACGCGCGCGGCGAGTAGTACCTATACTTCGCGTCTATACCTCTTTCTACCTTCCTTGCGATTTTCGCTGCAGCCAACATTGTGCGCATCTCGTTTGTACCCGGCGCCACGCTGCAGCGATTGCGCCAGCTATACAGCCATTATCGAGGGACTTTTTAATCCCATCGGCAACGAGAACTGTTCTTGTACAAACTGTTCGCCATGCGGTTAAAGTTTCACTCAACGCTCTTGATTCAACTGTTACAGAAACGAGATGTTAATAAAGAGAGTAACGGAAAATAAATATCGATGTCCCATAAGTCAATGTCGAGGTAAAATATCGAGCAAAATGCCAAGCGCTAATTCGGCACCATCGATGTTTTCGAAGTACGCCAACGATGTTACGCGATGCTCTGCGCCCTTGATTTTATGTCAACGTGATATACTCAAACCTGCGGAGCGCAGATTTATTTATCGCGCGCGGCGTTTCCGAGTTGCGTTCGCAATAAAATTGATTCGCGCATTACAAGGAAAGCACGAAAAACGTTATTGGCACATACGTTGTCTCGCATTCCCCGTCCATGATTTATATCGAGAGAGATCTCTCAGGGCTTTAAATTATTTATTCTCCTGATGTACCGCGCGTTAGATATTGATGAAGGTATTGACGAAACGTGCGTATACATTTTTTTTCTAATTATCCTGCAACTAATTATCAAGCATTTCGTGACGACACGGATTGAAAATGCATTTACAATTAATTAAGCGTGTAAAATGTGATTTTTCTGATGTGCAATTTTCTGTATATTATAACCTGTATATAAATTTATTAATTCCTAGAACGATCTTATATATTTTAAATTCTTTTCTATTTTAATTCTTTTATATTTTAAGCGCTTTTCTATTTTAAATCTTTGACTCGGATGCTAATCAAAGTTTTTAGACTGCATTTTGATATTTAGGGATGAAAAGAATTACTCTTTTCAATTAGAATATCTAATTCGTGAGATGGGATGTCAGGAAAAAAAGATAAAGGTTAAAAATGGAGATAAAAAGAAGTAATTGACTTCTGCTTTTTTACTGGCAAATATTCAACTAATATTGATTCCATCTAGACTCGCCGACTTGTCTAGTCTCCGACTTAGATTTTCGAAAAAAGAAAGAGCAGCTCTTTTTACTAAATACTAATTGTTGCTAACTATACTAACTTCTAAATTGTGGAGTAAAAATTTTAATTAGAACCCAAGTTACAAGAATTTCAAACAGGAAAGCGCGCGTGGGGTATCCTGGGACTTAATGAATTAAGAGAAAATGTTTAAAGAATATATTAGGAAGGAAACTTTGCAATTAAAATTTCTACTCCCACGCAAGATAGGAGTGTAATTAAAGGTAGCACTAATGAGAGTAATGAAATGAATAAGAATAATTCGACGCGAGTAAAGGTAAATGCGAAGGCTGCACACAACGCTCGGAAATACATATAAGCAGCTGCACTCCGCAACATCCTTTCTTTCTCTCGTCAGCGGCAATTGTAATACCTATTTATTGCCGGTGCACGATCCCGAACCGCGCGCCGGCCCTCCCTAACAAATTATGCAGAATAACGCAGCGTTAATTACGGCCGATTGCGATCGCATGATATGATATTACGAGATGGACCTTCGGCAGCCACTGCACGGGCAATTTGTGAGTCCGCACACGAGCGTCGGGTATGCCCATTAGTTTCTTTATACGCGGCCCGCGCGTAATCGGGCTCTAGTTGCGCGCACCTATTAAATCCCATGCATGGTTTGTTTGTTCGCTTTTTGACGGCCGGCACGCTGGGTGCTTCATCCGGAATGGCCGTTCCATCGAACGAGATTGAATCGAGCTGGAGCTCCTCTGATGAGATTTGTGTGCAAAAAACGATTAATACCTCGTTTCTCGAATATCCACTTAGGAACCACGGGAATTGCGAGATGCGTCTCATAAATCGTTAGCTACAGAGACGTGTGATTTACATGTACATCCATTTTCGAATTTTCAGTTTACAATCTCTCGCGTTTATCCTTAGCTTTTATTTCTTCGTAATAAAGAGGAAGAAACAATTAATAATTTCTTTTATATTTCTTCCAAATCAAACATGCGGAATTGTTATTAAAATGCTGATGGCGGGGAAAGGGATAACTCTCAGGATGGAAAGAAAGTATAGAATATATTATAGAACTTTAACATCAAGGAATTGAAGTCTCTTTACCAAACGCACGCGAATTGTTTTACATGAGGCAACGTTTTACTCCAAGTTGGTTCTTTGTACGCGACTCCTTGAAAATCGATGTCGACACGACGAATCCGTGAAACATTTAAAAGTTCTCGTTGGTGCGCCTCCATTGTCGGCCTAATACGAATGAGCCGGTATCCTTGTCGACTCTGCATTCTTCATGAGAATCGCACTCCGCCTAAAACGAACGTGACAAACACCCAACGTTTGCGGTAAAAATATCTATGCTCCACGGTAGTCATTGTGTAGTCTCTTGTGCATAAAGTGTGCTCCCTGAATTGCTTTTTGAAGTAAAAAAATGCAAAGTTTCGCGTAAACGTATTTATATAAAAAAAATAACCATTGTAGCATTCAAAATGCGATAATTTTTAAAATATAAAAGCCCGATTTCGACAAAAAGATTTGGCAAGGGAAAAAAGGGCTCGTAATTACGGGGATGGTTACGAAAAGGATGAGACTATATATCTTTTTCGTATCACTCCGGAGTAAATTTATCCATTTACCAGCGACGCGACTGATTTCGGGGTTAATCATTATTCGGACGACGCGCAAGCATGGTATGCATTAAAGTTGATTTCTTTCCTCGCGGAATGGCCTTAAACCTGCTCTTCGGTGGCCGTGGTGGTGTATCGCATCCAATCTCAGACAACCGCGATCTCCCGAAGCTTAGTTCTCGGTTGGGAGAAAAGAAACGTTAGGGGTCTAATCGCGTTAGGTGCCCGGCTCGGCCATGTTGCTTTCTGGTCACGTACCGCCGTAAAACAAAGGAACATTGAGCGAGACCTCACGCAGGATACGCCCCTTAATATTTAATCCCTCATTATTGGACCGAGGCCGAGCTTTTGAGACAATTGGCAGTTTTACTAGCCAATAAGGTATCGCGGAATACCGGCCGGCGGAAACATTACGATCACGCGTGCTGATCACACCAATTCCGGGGGCAAATCTAACGGAGAACAATGTTACTGTGCGATTGCTATATCCTACGATAGAATATCACGTCGACGTAAATTCAGAGCAGAGTTATAAGTGGAAGCTAGTAAGAAAATTCTAAATTGAATTAATGATTGAAGTAGAGGTCGTATGAAGAATACTGTTGTTTTCTTGAATTATTTAAACGTTTATACGGGTGCTGAAATTTAAAATAGACTTTCCAAAGAATTGAGACGATGGCATGAAACAACTTTCCACGCTTAAAAATTGCAAGTATGAGCTACACGCGTGGCTACGCTGTCCCCATGGCGTAGTTACTGCAGCACTGTTCTTGACCCAAGAGACCTGCCATAATGAAATTAGATTTCTCGTTGACTGAAGCGAGGTCCAACGTCGAGAAAGAGAGAGAGAGAGAAAGAGAGAGAGCGGCGCAGCTGTTGAAATATCACTGCTTTTGCAAAAGGTGGAACAGCCACTCGAGCGGTTGGAGAAAGGGGGTTCGGAATGGATAGACCGAGAGAAAGAGAGGGTGCGAGAAAACGAGAGAGAAATTGGTAGGAGACAACGTGATCGAGCACCGGACATAGCGCGATATAATGAAAACATGGCCGCCACCTGAAAATCCCGGATGGCTTTGAACGGAAGTCTGGTTAAAGTTTATATAAAATCCGGTTTATCGTAGCTCACATGCCGTCGTTTCTTAAAATAATCGATTTTTCATTTCTTAATTATTAGCTAATTATTAATAGCTAATTTATTAATATACATCGTTGGTCAACAGTTAATATAAATAATCCATGTATACTACAGATCAATCCTATATAAAATACTTTTGTTCCGATTCATTTAGTAATGTTATATTATAAAATCAATTAAATATCGCGATCGTTTCTGCGATCGTTTTGGCGATCATACTAGCGATCGTATTAATCCGATTTTTCCATTTAGCGGGAAACGCAGCGACTTGTCCTCGGCAGAATTTCATGGAGCTCGAAATTAAATAGAATTTAATCTCGGGACGCGGTCGTAGCCCGGAATGCACACAAGTCTGGTTTACGTCATCCGTAACCACTTAGCGTATTGGAGTTTGATTTATTTTCCGAGTCAAACTGCTGCCTGGGGAGGGTGGCTACCCTCTCAATGTACTCTATTGTATTTCTATTAAGTCCCGAGCACGTTCTTTCGCCCCGCCACGATCGTACCGTATCTCCCGACATTTCACCCTCCTATGACGAGATCGTCGGCCGCGCTAGCACGTGTTTTTTAAACACTTCTGCATCAGAGAGAGAGAGAGAGAGAGAGAGAGAGAGAGAGAGAGAGAGAGCCAATTTAATCGGAGAATAAAAAAGAATATGAAACTAGTTAAGTGTAGAAATTGCATGAGGTTCCCGCGTGCGGCGAGAATATTTGAAAATCAAACTTTATACCAAGAGTAAATTTTGGTACGACAATATTAATTAACTCGGCGACGTCGAATAAATTTTTCCCTCTTCCTCATCTTTTATTTCCTTCGTTCCTTCGTCTTATTACGAGAGACGCCACTTGAAACTTTTTTTACGAGGCAAAACGCAAAGGTACAAAAAGTTAGGGGCACTTCGCGCCGCGCCAGGAGTGGACGTAATATTCCATTAAATCGCAATTAACGCCAACCACGTAGGAATGCTTTATACCAATTAGGAATTTAATTAATTAATTAGCTAACTTGTAACTCGTAGAACGCCAATGAGACTTTTCGGACGATGATTTAGATGAAGACATCCGCGAAGCGGTATACGAGCCGCCGAGACATAAATCCACTGTAACGGATTAATTTCATCGTACCTCGAAAGCAACGAGTATTTAATCGTGCTATACCGTAACGCCGACTGAGCATGATATTTACGCGCTTCTTAATCTCGTTCAAAACCTAAATGAGTTAATTGGCAATATATATCCCCGAATCCTGGTGTTTACAGTAAAATGGAGCAACAAAGAAACTGGATTGACACAAAATTGAAAAGTACGACGTATATTATATACTCAGAAATTTTTCATGACAAGCATCACTAATTCTAAGAGTCATTTTTTTAATTTAACGAATAACATGCAGGCATATAAATTTTTTTTCAGTTATGCGAGCATATAATCCATGTCTTATACAGCTTATTTAATCATTTAATCCGAAGGCGCGAATTATTCAAAAACGATTTTTTCCGAAGGAAAGGCAATTACCTTGATCGGTGGAGCAGCGTCGCGTAATGATTGAAAAATTACAAACAGTTTCCCAACTTTTAGCCGGCCAGCTTGCCAACAAAAATTAAGCATTCTTTTATCTCCGCGCGACGTTTCATGCGTCTCAGCTTGGAGTTCCTCTTAATCAATCAAAAAATCATGAAGAAATGAATTAGGTAGTAACTCTCGGAGGGATATTTCACGGGAGATGAGATGCTAAGCCCCTTCGTTTGATCTCTCGGTCGAAAAACGCCGAGATCGTCCCCTCTCCCCCATAATTTTACGCACGACACGCTGCCATCAGGCATAATATACGAGCTACTGCATTTCGATGCCGATTGACGTTTATAATTCAAATTTAGGTAATTCTACGATTGTTATATCTATTAATTGTCGGGTTGATCGTTACACACGCGATCGAAAATGTAATGACACATCGGGGGGCGCGCGGGATAAAATCGGCACGCGGCACGCGAACCGATTCCAACGGGTGGAACGAAAATTCCGCCAATAACAATAACAACGGGGAAGGTGGTATAGATATAAAGATCGGATGGAGAAGGAGAAAGAGAGAGTCGAGAGAGAATGCGCTCGCGGTGATAAACTCCTCGGTAGACAGAATACAGATCGAAAGTCTGCCGGCTAACCGAGTTATCGTGGCCTCCGCCGAATTACTGCACCCGCTTTCCCTCCATTTGGAAAATCCCCTGGTACTAAATAAATGTTTCACTCTGGCCGACTTGCCCGGTATATTTATATGCGGTGTTGCGGCGGCAACGGCGGCGATGTTAACTCCCCCTTCGCTCCTGCCCCCCCTCGTCCCGTTGCGGCGCCTCCTTCACCCCTGCGCAGCCATATGTACTTTCCGCAGGAGGTCTCGGAACCGGCATTCGCAGCCGCAACAACGGAAACAACGGGTGGATATAGGTGCTCGCAAGACGTATGAGGCTATCGTTTTCCTCGCGTAAAACTTTTCCACTCTGACGTGAATGTTTTAGGCGAGCTACCCGCGGCGGGGACTCTCCCGCATCACGAGGGAACATTGGTATAATTAATCCTTTCGTATAGATTGGGGATAATTACGCTTATTACTCTTTCGAGTTTACGATTGTACATCGACGTTCGCGATTTACGGACACGAGATGTCTTCGGGCATTTACATGCAAGACAGCTGCGTTCGTAACGATACTGCCCTTAAATCGGCGCGAATCTATGCTCACGGTGTGTGGCGCGACGCGAAACTTTTTTCTCCCTCTCTCTTTGAATGTTTCAGATATATATTCGCCAACTGAGTCGCGTCGCAAACTCATAGGTTCTCGTAGAGGCCCCTCCAGGGCGATTCTCGGTCGGCCACGAAGTTTAAAGTTCCGCAGTCGCGCGGCAGAAATCGGGGATGCCCCGTGGGGAGACAGAAAGTTTCGTTCTCCGTCCGCCATATAGTCTGCACCGGGTAATTCAGAGATACGTCGATTTTCCATTCCGGCTCCGGTGCCCGTGACTGTCCCGCGCATGAATGTTTTAGTGGAGATAAAGCTGCTCCAAAGTGACTCCCGATCGCTTCGTTCGAGTCTCTACAATCCGCTGTTTCGCCGAGTAAAATTAATTTCACCGATCCAAGGTGCATACGGCGCTCGAATTTCTCTGCTATGCAATAATGATTTTAATTTATCTTTCGTTGCCGCAAACCTTTCTGATGTTATTGAACCATTTAAGTGCCAAAACAAGATTTCAACATTTTTATATTTTTAGCAATGCGTAATGGATATTGTACAATTGAAGGGCTTCCTGGAAGAACATTGCGTCCAACATTTTTTAAAATTTTACAAGAAATAAGAAATCATGTTAGCGCGAGCAACATTCTTTCATTAAAATATTATTTTAAAAAATAATGCAACACTTTTCCAGAGAGTTCTTTAATTATCGTGCAATTTTCAAATAATTTCGCATATAAATCATACAATAAAAGAAAATCGTATAATCATATAAAAATTGTAATAATATAATTTGTTACATATTACATAACAATTATATATATTATTAATATATATATTACATATTGATTATATATTATTACAATGTAAATGACTCGTCGAGAAGGAAGGACAGAATTAAGTAGTGCGCGTAGGTGCACGCATAACGAGAGAGAGAGAGAGAGAGAGAGAGAGAGAGAGAGAGAGAACGAGTGGATTATTTTGCAGGGAGCGTTGCACTGCATGTTTTAGCATTAAAAAATTGCCGGTTGCGAAAACGGGTTTTGCCAAATTACTTCGTATATCTCAGGAAATTGCTTATTATCTAAGAGAACTGTTTCTCGAAAGAGGGGCCCTCGCGCGCGCTTTACATTCAGCATATCGGCGGACTAACGGCGAACTCGTAAACGGTGAAATTTAAAAATAGATTATCCATAAAGCAAAGGATCTATTAAGGCGCCGGAGTCTCTCGGCCTCTCGGTGCAGCGCACGTACCGCGGAATATTGCGTGTTTGCCCGTGTAACGCCGCCATTCCCGCCGCGAGTTCGGTGTGCACAAATTGCAGCAGGCAGAAATTAAATTGCAGGCATTTAAAGTTTATCTTTCTCTCTCGCAAAATGCACCGCCTCGCTACC